TGGCCGCGCCGGCGAGAAAACGGGGGTGCTCATGGCCCAGAGCTGCCGGGGAGCCAAACCCAGCGCCTGCCGCCCCGAGGAGCCCCCGCTTATCCGCGGCAGAATCGAGCCCTCCAAGTCGGTGTCTGGTGGGGCGCGGGAAGGCGGAGGTACTTCAGTAGGAATCACCAGAGATCGTACAGCCTAACCGGAGGCCGTGGGGTGGTTATTCGGGGGGTTCCTCTCTTGTTTTCTTTCTTCCAAAACTGCAAACAAGCTCCACCACCAAAACAAGCAGCCGAGTAATAAACAATACCGCAGCACCTGCCGGCAGGGCTGGGGGGAGGCCTGTGCTTTGGAGACTGATGTATCTAACAGACTAACCCATTTAACTGGAGGATGAAACTAAGACGTAAGAAGTCATCTGAGCAATTCCAGGACACTTAAGTGACCTTTGGCGCCTTCTTAAGTACTTGCGGCTGTGCCCCGACGTGTAATTGTCACTGAACAGTGCAAGGCGCTGATCATCAACGAATACAGACGGAGGGGTGGTTTGCAGAGAAAAGACAACAGATAACAGATGCCTTTCTGTGTTAGTGTTCACCTGTAGCAAATACAGCATTATTTTTCTTTTAATCAGAGAAAAAACTTTTGTTTAAACACTTGTGCAGTAAGTATTGCTGATGGAATTGTGTCTCAGGCTATAACAACATCCCTGCAACAAACTCTAATTTGCATTTGAAGTGTATCCTTGCAATCTTGAGATTCAAGTTTTAGCTTCTACAGCATTTTCTCCCAGGTTTCCTACTACAAATAGTACAAGTCTGAAACAGAAGTACATTCTGGAGAATTGCCTAATGAACTAAACCCACCTATGTTCACAGTTCAGTTTCCCAAAGCATGTAGGTATTTGTATGCACATATGGGAGATTTAAAGAACCCTGGAAGGATATTATATAGTACCTGATATTTAAATTCTGATGGGATAGAGTTCCCTTGTTGAGTTTTCAGTTTTGAAGTTTGCTTGTCATGAGTTAGCTGTGGCAAAACTACACAAAGATGAGAAACAACCTTGCTGGTCTGTTTCGCACCTCTGGGTCTTGCCACTGCTGCATCTCAGAACAGCTACAACAATACTTCAAGCAAGATTTTTCTATCTAGAAGCCAAAGAGAACCATCGCATCTTTGAGAATACACCAACATTTCCAGCCGTTTTCTGATCAACTGCACCACACTAACCTTCAATTTTTGTAGGCAAAGAAAACCTTCAAAGAGAGTTTAGACCAAGGGCATTTAAACAAAGTTTCCCTTCAGATTGTCACTGAGAGAAGTCGAAAGACCAGACCCCTAATCAAAACTCTGCGCTGGAAGTATCCTCATAAAAGGAAGATAGGTGTTGAAATAGGATAAAACATTTTCAAATGAATATTCGTATTTGTGCACTGCTAGAGAATGCACAGCATTTCCATCTGGCAAATTTGGTTAATTTATTCAAGCTTTGATCAACTGAAAGAACAGACATCATAAGTACAAACAGTGGTACCTCTTTTTATTAGTACAGACAATATAAGATGCATAGCTTTTGCAATGAAAAATCATGTCCATGCTCTAAGACACCAGATTAATGAAAGGTCCTCAATGTCTGCCTTGGACAGAGGGGCAAACTTCACAGTGTAAACTGATAATACAGGGAACAATCATATGGCATTATTCATAGAACTCCCTGCTGATATTGTCAGACAAAAATCAGCAATAATGAAAACACAATGTGTTTAACTGCAGAATAGTTTCAAGTATTCACTTATTTTTTTGGTTGTTTAAAACCATCTGCTTCCCCTGTTCCCCCACTCCTTCCCAAAGAGGCACCAGCCACAACGGATGAAGCGAAAGAACGCCTTTTTGCAGGACACCTGAAGTTCTTCTAAAGCAGAAAATGCCTTCCCAGAAGCAAGACCGATTTTTCTTATTGCAACAGACAGTGGTACAAATACTTTTACCTCTGTGAACGTTACAAATACTTTTTTTTTTTTTTTAAGTAATAAGTTATTACAAGAGACGCTGAAGAAAGTTTTTGTTATTTGTGGGAACAGGCAATGAAAGAAGACAGTCTCACCGTTGCATAATTCTCCTCTGACAAATGTGGGAGAACGCACCTAAACCATTTTGTTCTTAGGCAGTCTGGCCGCCAAAAGGCAGCTCCTGCACATTAATCCTCATTAGGAGGAGGCCTTATGAACTCTCCGATGAAATGCCATTTCATATATTTCAGCGGTTTAGCAGCAATTAGGTATTGACTTCATCTACAAAGTCTACAAAGCGTCCGAGGCAGTCACCAGTTCAAACCACTGTCTGAGTGCATCACTGAGAGTTTCGGGAAGCGCGTTCACATCTCTAAGGATCATGTAGAATGGGAATGGGAATTCTTCCATGTAAGATCGGATTTCAGGCAATTCTCCAGGCCCTTTGAATATAGGTACTTTAATGTCCAAAATGGAATCCTGTAAAAAAGAATTGATAGGACTGCTAAACCACATGCATCTTTTACAGGCCTTTGATATTATTTTTCCTATTTTTTTCCAAATACTTACAATTCCTCCTATGTTAAATTAAAAGTTAATAGAGAGTTTTAAGATTAAAAGCCATAAGTGTTCAAGGGTAAATCAAATGAAACGCTGAACACAAAGCAGTTAAATGCTTTTGCCCATTTAGATAGAAGTGCTCTAATCAATGCATTATAGGCTAGAAGAGACTAAGCTTAAGCTTCTGCAATACCAAGTTCTATAAATAAATCCTGTCCTTCCTTAGTATCTTATGATTTGAGTTTACTGTTATCGCTTTAGTTTTATTTATACATTTGATGCCTTTCTGGCACATCTGTAAGCTCTTTAGGGCTAAGAGTTCAACCTGCACTTGTGCAGTGATATAATACAACAAGATTCTTTAGCAAATTATTTTATAATATTTCAACAAATACTACAAAGACAAAAATCAGATTAAACTCCAGCTGTGCTTTTTGTAAAGCAACTTTTTAGTTGCTCAGTGTAGCAGCTCAGAAGATTAAAGCTTATTAAAAAACCCGCATTTCACTGCCCAGAAATTTTTGCTTGACATTATAGCTAAGTTTCATCCGAGCCTTTTAATAGTTTGTCAGCAAAAGAATTGTTAATTTTTCAACAATAAATATAGCTAGTGGGTTTTGTATGGAAAAAGAAAGATACAGGAATAAAACATGAACTACAAAATTAGAGTCTTCACCTAATTCAAAGTAAGGCTTTGATTAAAAGTTTTAAGTTTGCTCACTTACTGCACTACAGTCTCCCTGAAAAGCTCTCGGATATTTCAGATTCCCAGCCAAGGAAATCTAACAGTTTTCTTTCACAGCTACCAAATACAGTACCCAGCTTTCCCAAATCAGGCACTAAATAACTCTCATATACTCCTTTCTGTCTAATGTTTAATCTCATATTGGCTCCAGCTGCCATATCAAATGGAAACTGCTGTCAGAAATGATCAGTTTGAATCAAAATTTAAAAGAACAAAGCATTTCTCAAACTTCGAATTTGTCAGCCTGCCAGCTACTTCTCTGGCAGCAAAACCATTACATTTGAACACCGGAGCTCTTACTTAAGACTTTCTGTGGCATGGAAGACAATTTTATTTTATTTGTTTAAATACAAAAGAAGGTAAGCATCACAGTAGGGAGAAATCACAGATCTGACAGACGTTGTGAAAAACTGAAATTGGGCTAACTATCTTTGACCTCTGCAAAAGATAAGATAGCTGTAAAGCACTACCAAAGACAAGAGGAAGATCTGTATGTTTCTCATTCGCTGCACTTGAATACTTCTCCCTTGTTCACTTACTTACCCGGGAATTAGGATTGTCCAACACTACGAAAATAACAAAGATATTGGCATTCTGAGCTGCTTGAACTGCTGCTGTCACTCGTTCTTTGCCTTCCAAGAAAAGGCCTCTTCCATCAGATACAATCAAAAGCAGCTGCGCTGTTTCTGAGCACAAAGAACATTTTAAATTCCAGTAAGTTAGACTAATCCATTTAAAAGACTATTTTGTTGTTAGTCCTGTGGGTATAATGGAAAAACCCTCAGAGTATTTCTAAGGAAATTAAGTCTTTATCAAATAGTATCCTATGACTTAACATTAAACTGCAGTTACGAATGGGTCAAGAAAGACATTTTTCCCTCTGTTTGATACCATTGAGAATAACTGGGGAAAAAAAGAACAGGTCCATCAGTGTCATAATCAAGGATGAAAGGCATGGTAAATACTTAATGAATTCAGTCATTGTCTTTCGTGTCTTGACCTTGTCTTTCATGCCTGGTAAGCACCTAAGAGTTAAATATTGGCTGAATTATGAGTCTGGCCACTAAATCACTACCTCAGTAAAGCAGCAGCTGCTGCAACGGAGAGTCCAAATCTGTTCCTCCAGAAGCAGGTGCCTATGGGTGCATCTGTAATTAGCACTTCAGTTTGGATTATGACTGTGCTTTTGAAACGTTTCCCTGTTGTCCCCACTTCAATGGGCTTGGTTTCCATT